ACGGCCGCCTGCAGACCCAGGGCTTAGCGCTGCAGCGGCTGGGGGGAATCGGCAGCTCCCACTTGGCCCGCTCCAGACCCAGCAGGGCCTCCGAGGAGCAGGGGGCGGCGGGAGCCCCAAGCCGCCTGGGTTCGGGCTCGGCTCGCTATCGCGCCCCCAGGCCTCTCGCACTGGGAACGGGGAGGCGGGCGGAGGGCGGGAGCAAGGAGCCCCGGGAGAAGGGCGGAAAGGGGAGGGGGCGTCGCTAGCGCCGAGCCAGAGCCGCCCCCTGAGCCGGGGGAAGGGGAAGGAAAATGGAGGGGCTCCCAGCTACCAGGGGCGAGACCACGCCAGTGAAGCGACCCCCCCTTGCTAAGGGGAAGGGGGCGGACAGCTTCCCCCCTCCCGCGCCTTAGCCCCCCCAGCGCGGGCTCCCCGTACCTGAGACATAGCAGCGGCCGGCAGCAGCGAGTCGTTGTGTGGCTGATTGACTGGCTCGGACCCTCCTGCCAACGTGCAGCAGCGTTTCCGCCTTCGCCCACAGAACCCCTACTTCAGCCAGCACCAGAGCGCCCGCCGCCCAATCACAGAGCCCGGCGGGATAGGGGCGGGGACGCGGCGTCCAGCGACCAATCACGGTTCCATCGGGGCGGGAAGGCAGGACGAAACCGAGCTCGGCCCACACCAATCCCCCCGCGCGGGAGGCGGGCTCAGGGGCGACTCACGGCCAATCACTAAAGGAGGCTCGTGGTCAGAACGCCTGACGCCAATCCAGGAACAGCGAGGGGCGAGGCAGAGCGAGACCTGCTCCCAATCACACGGAGCAGTGAAGGCAGGCGCGAGGAGGGGGTGGGATAGAGTCTCGTGCGGCCAATCGCGGAGTCTTGCGCGTTGAGAGAGGCCCCGCCCTTACGTCGGAAAGGGCGGATGCAAGGGAGGGTCACGTGACACTGTCGGATGGCGTGAGGGCGGTGAAGCCGGAAGTGCCCGTGCAGAGCGTCGCAGTAAGAGTTGAGGGGGGTAGCGTCTGCTTGATGGGCGGGGCCGGGCCGGGGGGCGAGGGAGCGCGAGCTCAGGGGAGTGTGGCGGTTGGGGGGCCTGTGGTGGGGGTGGGGAAGAGGGGGCAGTGGTGGTGGCTGTAGTATAACCTCCAGCCCCTAGGGGGTGCTGTGTGTCACATGGCCCGCCGTGGGGGCGGGGCAAACACGTCTCTCCAGGGAAGCGCGGTGGCCAGTCTGAGTCTGGAGTAGACGCCTGAGGTGCTTGCAGCGTCGCCGCAGCCTGCCAGTGGGAGGAGTACAGGCCGTGGGGCCAGCCCCACTGGTGCCACAGGTGGGCAGCAAAGGTTGCAGGCTCGATGGCATGAGGCTTTTCAGTGCCCCCGGAAGCTCAGCTGTGCCAGGGCCGGCAGACGACAAGACACTGCTGCGAACACCACCCGGAGCCTGGAGACGTCCCGATGTCGTCTTTCATGTCTGCTCCGGGGAAGGCCGGCAGAGCATAACGTTAAATCCATTGCCTTTAATGACCACAGTCACAAAGATAATGATGAAAGAGTTCTGGCAGTGCTTGACGCCTACTTTATACCTCGGAGATTGTGGGGTATGAAAGGGTGCGTTTTTGCCAAAGAAGTCAAGAACGAGGGAAATCTGTTGAATCTTTTATAGCAGTTTTGCATGCCTTGGCAGAAAGCTCTGATTTGAAGGCTATAAAACATGAAAATATCAGCGGTAGACTGGTTATTGGTCTTATAGATAAAAGCATCTCACAGCCGCCATAATTAAAGACCGATTTGACCTTGTACACAGGCTAACTACAAAACCTTTCAGACTAAATGCACAACATATGGAAAAAGTCATAGCCCATGAGATGTGTGTTCAGCCAAAGGTGCAAGGTATAACAAATACACAAAATATGGACATTTTGCCGCCGTTTGCTGCACTGGGGCAGTCAAGAGGCATTGTTTCTGGGATCTATCAAGTGTGATGACAGAGCCTGCCAAGAGAGTGAAACTGAATATTCATGGAAAGACCATTGAGTTTAAAATTGACTTAGGAGCAAATGTGAAAGTCATACCAGAAGGGATGTATAATCACCTTGAAGTCCTCCCAGAGCTGAAATCGCTTGACACAATCCTGACTAGCCCTGGAGGTATTGTGAAGTGCATGGACCAGTTCACCATAGAAACAACTTACAAAGACAAAAGCTTTGCATTCAGAATGTATATGATCAAAGACCAAACACCAACAACCTTCTCAGCTGCAGCATAGAAGCCATGATGGGCCTAATTAGAAAAGTGGCAGAACTTCTTGGAGTATTTGGTATTGGAGTTTTGGTAGGAGTCTGAGTATAAATAACCTTAAGAGGCAGTGTTGAAACATATATTGTACGTACGCCTCTGAGGATTCCTATCGTGTTGTTTAATAAAGGGGAAATTGAGTTAAAGAGAATAGAATAGATTGGCTTAATCGAGAAAATCTTTGAGTCAACATCATGATGTGCCCAGTGGTACCAATTATAAAGAGAAATGGAAAAATACAAAACTTTGTGTAGGGCCTTATGAAATCTGCATTAATGAGAACACGGATGGAATCATGAAATTAAAACATAACATGAAATCTGGGCTCTTACTGGCATTAGGACCACAGTGGCAGGCAGGCAGGGCGGGCTGCATGGCTGAGCTACGTGCAGCCACTGGAGGTAAGAGAGCAGTGGTGTGGGGAGGAGGTGCAGGTGGCTAGGGCCACAAGGGATTGCAGGGGTTAGGGGAGAAGGGTCAGCATCTGGGATTTAAGGGCAGCTTCTGAGAACTCAGTTCCTTGCTGTGTCAGTTCCTCTGGGACATTGGCATCACATTAGGGAGAAGCCGAAATTCCCTCAAGACGCTCTGTCAATAAAAGTATCCATTGCGCAAGTGAACATAGGTTCATTTGAAAGAACCTCTTCATGCTCCTTTACAGAGGCAACATGTAGCTGTGGCTAGTGAGGGGACACAAATGAAAGGTTCTCAGGAAGCCCAGCAGTGAGGAGGCAGTAGAACTCTCCCTATGTCTCTGCATTGTGGGGAGGAAGGAAACAGAAGGGTGGCTGGCTGCCGGCTGAGCAGCAAGGACATAAAGAATAAGTATCTCCATGTGAATGTTGCAGAATTAACAACACAAAGTATCTTTAATAACAACACCTCTACCAGGCAGATGTTGGAAGAGACTAGTTGCAGATTTATGCAAATTCAGAAGACACAAATTACCTGGTCATAGTGGACTATTTTCTTAGCTACATATAAATAAGGTACTTGAAAAACCTAACGTCTTGCAGTGTTATCAAGAAACCGAGGGTACGTCTATACTTACCTCCGGGTCTGGCGGTAAGCAATCGATCTTCTGGGATCGATTTATCGCGTCTTGTCTAGATGCGATAAATCGATCCCGGAAGTGCTTGCCGTCGACGCCGGTACTCCTGCTCTGCGAGAGGAGTACGCGGAGTCGACGGGGGAGCCTGCCTGCCGCGTGTGGACCCGCAGTAAGTTCGAACTAAGATAATTTGACTTCAGCTACGTGAATAACGTAGCTGAAGTTGCGTATCTTAGTTCGAAGTGGGGGGTTAGTGTGGACCAGCCCTGAAGTGCGCTTTTGCTCATTTCAGTTTTCCAGAACAACTAGTGATGGACAATGGACCACAGTTCACTGCAGTGGAATTCAAGTAATTCCAAATGAAATATGATTTTGACCATATTACTAGCAGTCCACATTATCCACAAGTGAATGGAGAGGCTGAGAGGGCTAACAGACATCCAGGAAAATCCTACAACAGGAAGGTTCATTTGTTGATCTTCTGAGCTACAGATCAATATTCAATAGCAGCCACTGGTACAGCACAACTCCTGATGGAAAGACAACCCAGAACTACTGTTCCAACTTTGGAAAAGAATCTACAGTAGAACCTCAGAGTTATGAACGCCAGAGTTACGTACTGACCCGTCAACCACACACCTCATTTGGAACCGAAAGTACACAATCAGGCGTAACAGAGACAAACAAACAAAAAAGTAAATACAGTACAGTATTAAATGTAAACTACTAAAAAATTAAAGGGAAAGCAGCATTTTTCTTCTGCATAGTAAAGTTTCAAAGCTTTATTGAGTCAATGCTCAGTTGTAAACTTTTGAAAGAACAACCATAATATTTTGTTCAGAGTTATGAATGTTTCAGAGTTACAAACAACCTCCATTCCCGAGGTGTTCGTAAGTCTGAGGTTCTACTGTATCTCCAAAGTGACCAGATGTGAAGATAGTAGCCAAACTGGATAAAAAGACAAAAAGAGTTTATGAACACTTTTATAGCAGACGTCATTCAGAGAACTGCCAGATCTGGAACCTGGTGACTGTGTTTGTGTCAAACTGGATGGAGAAAAAGGATTGGCAACCCAGCTGTTGTAAAGAAAAAGAATTTGTTGTCCAGACCATATGTGATTGAGACGGACAGTGGAGAGTTCAACAGAAACTGTCGACATTTCAGTTTGTTTCTCAGAAGGAACAATCAACAGAACAAACTCTACAGATGGTTCATGCAGAACAAGAAGATGACCACTCAAAAATTCTAAACTGATCAGATACAATCACTGCAACTAATAGACAACCAGATGACCAAGTTGTTACTTGTTAGTGTTGTGTAATTAGAAAACCAGTATGACTCGGAGAAACTGAACTTTAGAGATAGTATGATAGTGTAACTTTTATAAATGGTAGGAATGTAAAACTTAAAATGGGAGATGTTAATGGAATGTTAAACTGTATTCTACTATTCAGCCACTACGTGGCACTGTGTGTAAAATGCCTTTCCTGAGATGCTAACAGTAATACTCAGAAGTGCTTTAAAGCAGTGTTTCTCAAGGACTGGTCTGTGAACTGGTGCCAGTCCTTGAGCTCTCCCTGACACAGTTTAGGAAGGCAGCAAGCCAGTCCCTGATATCAAAGAGTTTGAGAAACACTGCATTAAAATATCTTTAAGAGAACATATTACTTTGCTTGTATCTCCATGATGGAAGTTCTGTAGCCAGGGGGAGAGCTTTCCTGGCGATAAAAAATATCCCACCCGAACGAGTGGTGGTAGCTTTGCTCCCGGCGATAAAGCGCTGTCTATACTGGCGCTTTTCAGCACTAAAACTTTTGTCGCTTGGGGGGGTGTTTTTTCACGCCTCTGAATGATTAAATTTTTAGCGCTGAAAGTGGCAGTGTAGACATAGCCTTAATCTGGTATAGAAGCCTGACCTACTAGTAGCAGCCCTACAAGCTACTGTGTACAAGGAGTACATAACTAGGGTGACCAGATGTCCCGTTTTTATAGGGACAGTCCCATTTTGGGGGACTTCTTCTTATATAGGCGCCTATTACCCCCCACCCCCTGTCCCGTTTTTTCACAGTTGCTGTCTGGTCACCCTATACATAACAGTGACAAAGCAGGTCGGGGGGTGAGGGGTGGGAGGCTGCCTGTAGCAAATTGGAGGCTGCCTGAAGTGGGCGTGCGGGAGGGATGAACGGCAGTTGGGGTGTGTGTGAGGGGTAGGGGGCTGCCTGTGGCAGGTATGGGGGGGTGAGGGGAAGGGGACTGTCCGTAGTGGGGAGGATGAAGGACAGGGGGCTATCTGTAGCGGACACCTGGGTGTGAGGCAGGGGGATGCACTATGAGGGAATTTTCGGTGAACTGTCACTTGGAGTCCTCATCCATTCTTGGGCTCTTTGATGAGAAACAGAAAAGGGATTCCCTGACCTTTGGTTTCCTTTACACTGTGGGGCAGGGCTTTAGTGCAAAGCTCTTTAGTTAGCCTTGGTGATCTTATGTCTGTCTTGGATATGGAAGAAATATCTAAGCTCAAGTCCAGGAATGATTTGGTTCTTACAGAGAACAATTGACCATCAGTATGTCTGCATTGGACAGTTCGCTGGTTTTCTGGGCTGCACTTTCTGTGTCATGCCTCCTGAGAAGTGCAGCACAGAATCTGGCCCATCTCACTATTAGATCAGTCTAAGATATCAGCATTTCCTCATCTAGGTGCTGAATGCTAAACTCTGTGGCTTCTCTTCTTCTCCACCTTAGAATCTGCTTCCCCCAAGATGATCTTACGTAGTTCTGGGGGTAGAGTGCGTTCAGAACCTAGCAGGGTCCTTCTCTGTGCTAAGGGTCTTTCAACTTTCGGTCCTGTGTGGAGAAGGACTAGGATAATGTTCACCTCTTTTTAGCATAATTAAAAAAACCCTCTTTTCAGATACAAAAGAATGTGGTTTTGTATGTACATGTTATATAAATGAGATACTGATGTAATGTGTTTTAACTTGATTATTGTGCTTCAGGCATAGAACTTGGGTCAAAAACTTTAAATGTGACCCCTCCTCCCACCTGCAAAAGTTAGGTAAAGTCAGGGGACAGAAGGATCCCCCTCCAAACAAAAATGGAAGTGAAGCCCTGTGAATGACTTAAAAGAAGGATAGCTCAGGAGTTTAGTACACTAGCTTGGGACTTGGGAGATTTGTGCCTCAGTTCCCCATTGGATAAATAGCACTTTCCTACCTCATAGGAGTGTTGTGAGCATAAATGCATTAAAGATTGTGAGGTGCTCAGATACTACGGTAATCGGGATCATATAAGTACGATTGATTGATAAAGACTAAATAAACAATTTAAAACCTTTCAGATACACAAGTCTCTTAGTTATTGCAGAGCAACAAATACATAAGGAATCAGTACGTAAGAGACAAATAGAATGAGCAAGAGAGAGCGAAAATATTGTGCAGATAGTTGGAGATAACTGCAAAGGCAGCTGAAATGTAGCTCTGTGCTAAAGACAAACTTCCTGGCACTGAAGCTGTGGCCCAGTGTCATTGTTGCAGAAAGCTAATGAACTAACGGAAATGGAGGAAGTGGAAGAGCATCTACCACTGAAAACTGGGGATATTATCAGTGGTAGGAAACAGCTCTGCTGGCTAGAGAGACAGGAAATTGACTATGAAGGTGCTGAACTAAAATCTCTGTCTGACTTTGCTTAAAGGGGAAGAGGGGGAGAAAAGCAGACTTAAGACCAAAAAAAAAAAAAAAAACCACCTACCAGTCCATATTCTGCTTTCAGTTACAGAGGTGTAAACCCAGAGGGAGTTATTCTGGATTTATACTAGTGTAGAGGAGAATTTTGCCCCCTAATTCCTACAAAAATGACGTTATCTCCATCACCATTATTTTGTTGGATTTAATTTTAATTTGTTATACAATGTAAAGACGAGCCTTAGGTGGTAGCACAGGCATTTTTCTACATGGTGTGTCTGTGCGATACTGATGTATTATAAATAAGCTTTTATTTTTGTTTATGGTGTCCAATTCTATCCTTTGGCTCATAGAGGACAGGCAGACTTTTCAGTGACTTGGACTTACAAATAAATTAAAAGCAAAACATGTCTCACACAGCTTTAAACCATTTTTCTGCAATCTTTTTTTTCTTCTTAATATAGGGCCTGACCCTGTGGCTCGTTCCTGGAGCTGCTGCTGTTCTCAGTGGGAGTTCTGTACATGGAACAACTGCAGAACTGGGCCATCTGACATATAGAGTCAAATTCTACCCTTAAATTCTGGACAATCCTGTGTCAGTGAGGAGGCTATGGCTCTGCTCTTGCTCCCATCGTAGTCATGGCGAAAGGGGTACAGAATTGGGCCTAAAGTGAGGGCACAGTATGTTTAAAAGTTTGTACATTTTTAACTCTTTGGGACTGTCAGACTAATGCACCTGCACCTAGTTCTTTTAGCTGTTATATTTGTACAAAGAGAGAACTCAGTAATTACTCTCTTTAATATCTTCTAGGGTGCTTGCAGTTAATTCACATGTCATCAGAAAACTCAACCATTACTGTTCGCCTGGTTCGCTCCTTTGAGCACCGTAATTTCAGACCTGTGGTGTATCATGGAGTTAATTTGGACCAGACTGTAAAGCAATTCATTACATTTGTAAAGAATGGTAAGGCACTGTTATTTTTACACACTTATTTGGTCCCTGTACTTTGCTATCTGTGCATAAGCAGGTGTAGAGGAGCAAATTAATGGGAAAACTCTTGTGGCTCCATTAAAGCTGCCAGCTCCACATGTTCCCCCTTTGGGCTACTGGGGATGGAGGGGGCTGGGGAGCCAAGGATTCATGGGGGATTTGGCTCTTGATCCCACAGAGGATGTCCAACTACATGTAGGCATTACCTCCCTCTGCCCTGCACTGGAAATCCCCATGATCAGTCATGGCAGTGCTGTGCTGCCGTTCGCTCACTGCCCCAAGCTGCATGGGCTGCATTGTTGGGCAGCTACTCAAAAAGCATTAGGGACGTATGCCATCTAGTGAATCTTTGGTCACTGTTTCTACATGACTAGGGGCTACACCAATATTTGTGTGCAGAGAGGGAAAGCAAAGTGGGTCTCAGTTGAATGGGGAGGAAGTGTTCTGCGTAGTTATTTTCAATGATGGAAGGTACCACTATATGAGTGTGTTCTCTGGGATGTTTTCTTCTAGGCTGAGTATTGTCAGCCAGAAATGCACACAGGCACTCAGCACCTCTTGGAGTTGCTCAACACCAAGCCCATAGAGGGGCTAATTTTCAGCAGTGTGGTTTTCTTTGGGGAGCTGGTTAGCAGACTAGTCTTCCACATCCAATTCATTTGTGTGTCAATTGTTTGGGTGCAATTTGCAAATGGGGATGCACGACTTCTGCCCCTATGAAAATGTTAATAGGATACACATGACAGTAGAGCTATGGAGGATCAGACTCCAAGGGTCTGATCCTGCACACCTTTCCTGAACATTATACATGTGGGTAGTCCCACTGAAGTCAATGGGGCCAGTCACACAAGTAAAGTGTACCAGAGAATTTGTAGGACCTGGGCTCAGATTTGTACCGGTTGCTCTTCAACTTTTGATGTTAAGACAAGTTTCCTGATTTGAGATTTATTTTAAACTTCAAATTCAGAGTGAAAGCTTCATGACGTAATCATTTAAAAATATAAAAAGAAAATTGTTACAATCCTTTTCATGTAGTCTCTTTATTTTTAATAGATGTGTCTTTAAGAACAGGACTTCCACCTCCCTTTAAAAAATACAAATATGGTATGTGATTTTTTCTTATTCTTTAAGAAATGTGTGTACAGTATGTTATACCAATTCTCACGTGATTTAACTGCATTACAGTTATTTCCATCTAAATATAGTAAGTCAGGACTAGTCTCCTGAAAGGAGCTGTGACACACACACTCATACTTTGGCAGCTGCTTTCAGGAAACAACTAGTCAAGCTAATGGTTAATTTGGCCCAGCCCTATTGCGAATGTCGTACACACACCATTAGCTTTACATCATGTGTCTACAAAACCCAACGATGATTATGAACTTCTGTATTCACTTCAAAATTAGGCAGCACATTACACATTCTGCTGCTAATTGGCAAAGGCATTTTGGGATATTAATTTTTTATCATTTTTGTAAGTGCCTTTTAAACTCTGTTCCCATTCTGCAGAGCAGCTTGTGACCCACAGTACTTTGAAATCACAGTCCTCTTCGTGGTTATGCATTTCAATACCCAGCTACTAATTGTGAGGTCACAAGGGATGGCCAAGAAGGAGCTAAAGGCACCGAGTGGAAAATATTTAGATTTATGTACTTAAAGAATTTACATAATATTAAACAAGACGAGGAGGAGGAAAACACGTCTAAAGTAAATAGGAAACCTCCTAAATGTAAGCTTGGGATGAAATGAAATGGAATTAAATAGCCTGGGGTAAGATTTAAATCTGATTCTGTGCTCTAATGATTGTTGCAAGTAATGCTGCTCACATGCAAGTTTCCTTGGTGTAAGGAGGTGGAGAGTATCATACTTTGAATAGAACATGCTCCAGATTTATCCCTTTTCTGGGATTTGGCTTTAATTATGCTGTTTGGTGACTAGAGCAAAAGTGGTGCAATGGATGACAGCAGGGTCATGCAGTTATACAGCATAAAGAATAACTCAAATGACAATAGAACACTTTCCCTGAGACATAAACCTCTCCCAAGATGAACTGTTCCAGGGGTTTCCTTACAGATGCCTCTCTGCCATCAATGCCATTCCCACCTCCCTCTGTCCAAGGTGGAGTTAGCAAACCACATCTACCACACTGATGAAGCATCTCCCTGAGTGGGGCGCACATATAATTCCTGTAAATGGTGCTGGGAATTACACGCCTATATCAAGATACTAAATTGGCATAGGTCCTGATTGTTCATTCACACTGATGGGGAATCAGGAGGTGCAAAATGGGAGCAAGTGGGAAATGTATCGGGGATTAGAGTTTAATTTGTTAATGTCTCTATCTTCAACTTGTTTCTCTGAATTTAGAGGACAGATGTGAATATTGAATTATTTACAATTCCAGAGATTTGAAACATCTGTCTCTGGAGTGTCATTCTTCCCTTTTGTGGCAAATGAAGGAGACCTGTGCTATCATTTTATTCTTTATGCTGTGGTATACCTGCATGTCCATGCACAATTTTTGGTCTAGTCACAACACATGGCATCAGGGGAGATTTGCTGTGCGCATGTGCTTGTGGACATATGGCTAATTGCTATTCAGAGGACTGAACAAAATACTGTACAATCAAGGGAACAGAACTACGGCAGGGCAGCAGTTTGATTCCTGTTACACGAGCTCAGTCTTAGCCTCTCAGCCGTAGGTGCCAGTTATGCTGAGTTTGAATGTAAGGAATCCAAACCGAGCTCCTGATCTTTCCTCTGAGCCCTACCCTCTCTCTTTCATTTCTCTACCATGGTGGTGGGTAGCACCACCATCCTCCTCATCACACAGGCCTTTAATCTGGGCTTCTCCTGTAACTCTGCCTTCTTTTGGTTCTCTCAGCCCATCACTGTACAAATCTTGCTGCTTCTTCTTGGCCAGCATCATAAAGGGCCAACCTTATCCCCGCTCTGACTCATCCCATCTAGACCCTGATTGCCCCTCACCTTGACTTACACGTTTCTTTGTATTACTGTAGCATCTAGGAGCCCCAGTCATGGACCCTGACCACATTTTGCTAGGCGGTGCCTGCCCCAAAGAGCTTCCAGTCTAAGTTGTGCAACTTCCACCAGTCTGGCTCGTCTGTTGCTGCCTCATTTCCTCAGATTCATTAAAAATGCTGCCGTCAAACTCATCTTCTTGGTGCTTCACTTGGACTAAGGCCCCCTCCTCTTTGTCTCTCCATTGGCTCAACCTTCTCCATTGCATCATACCTAAAATTCTTGTTCTCACTGTCAGAACCCTTCACAGTTTAGTTTCTTCCTGTCTGTCCATCCTGTCATCTTACTGTTAAGTTGACTCTGCCTGCATGGCACCTACAATGTCAGCCTTGGTCGCCCACTTGTCTGCTTTCCCTTTTTGCACCTTTTTCTGTGCATATGAGGCAATATGAGGAAAGTTCCACAAAGCCACCTTATTATCCTCCTTCGAATCCCTCCTTAAAACGCACCTCTACCATGTTTCCCACAGAGAACTGTCATCTGATAATGGCTGGGCAGGTAGCAAGCTGTGATTTCTGCTTCTGATTGGCTTACTACATCTACAAATTGTGCAGACAGCTAGTCTGTACTAAAGCATCCCATTATTTTTACTTCATTACCTCCATCCTTTTCTTTGTCTGACACGTGTCATATTTTGTCTTTTAGATTGTAAACACTTTGGGGCAGGGACTGTCATTTACCACCTGTTGGTACAGTTCCTAGCACAATGGAGACCCAATCTGGTGGAGTCCTCTAGGCCCTACACCCAATACAAATAATACAAAGAATTTTCATTGGAGTTCAGTACAGTTTAGTATCTCATGACAGTGTTTTATATCAACTGTCACAAAAGGCCTGTTACGAGGAACACCAGGTAATATTTATTTATGTGCTCAAGTGAGATTAGTTTGGGGTTAGCAAAAGCAAATGGGAGGAGGTGAGGCTTTAGCCCGGATTTGAAGAGGCTGATATTTTATCTACATGGTGGGGTTGGAACAGCCTCTCCTTCACAGGGCAAATGGTTAAATGCAAAAATTTCTGTGGTCAGTGGTGGAGCTGTGAACAGATAAAATCAAAAGTGACTCAGAGACTGAATGGGTAAGTAAGAAGTCAGCTCAGAGAATGGGGATGTGAAGTTGTACTAGGATTTGAAAACCAGTAGGCTGCTCTTGGACTCCATTCATTGGGAGTATAGAGCTGGCTGAGGTTAGTAAAGGTCATTGATAGCTCGCATGTTCACTTCCTAGAGATGAAAACTTAGTATGTTTTCAGTGTGATTATGTGGTCTTCTTGCAGTAATTCTAA